TACGTGTGCTTCGTCAGCGGGTTACGTGTGCTTCGTCAGTGGTTTGCGAGCTGTGGAAGCGACAGTTACATACGGAGAAACGGCAACGGGAACAGCTAGCTTTAATAAAGGCCAGCCGCGATGAAAGACTCGCGTACGAATCTCAGAGAAACTAATGACTGCCGAGAGAGAGAGAGAGAGAGAGAGAGAGAGAACGAGAGACGTTGGCATTAGCATGTCTATATGTGTTATAAGTAGGCCTATACACACTGATTACGCAGCGCAACAGCACATGAACGCAATCGCACACGCCTTGCGTAGTCCACACTACACTACACTAGTCGGGCTTTTATCTACGAATCTACGTGACCAACAGTGAGAGGGGAGAGCCGAGAGAAAGAGAGAGAGAGAGAGAGAGAGAGAGAGAGAGAGAGAGAGAGATAAAGTGAGAGACAGACAGAGAAAGAGGGGGAGACAGACAGACACTAATCAGTCTGCTACCCAGGCAGACCGCTAGATATCCCCTCTCGCTACACGCACAAACACACACACGCACACGCACACACGTACGTACGCACACACGTACGTACGTACACACGCACGTACGCACACACGCACGTACGCACGCACACAGCATGGGTCTGGAGGACTTAGACGTCGCCTACATCCGGCTGATCGTCAAGATCCTCGCAAACACGCACAACGACACTGAGGATTTCCGGCGCCCCGTGATCCCGATCTCGCTACGCTACGTCTTCCCGCTCTTCGTGTTCCTGTACGCCGTCGTCATGGCCGTCGGCACGGCGAGCAACGTCGTCACACTGTGCACGATCGGGCGACAGCGTCTGCGCGACCCGATGACGCACTTCTTGGCCAACATCGCAGTTGCCAACATCATCATGTGTCTGGTCGTGCTTCCGCTTACACTCTCCAACCTGCTCATCAAGAACTGGTTCTTCGGCAGCTTCACCTGCTTCTTCCTTCCGATGGTGCAGTTCCTGCCCGTGTACGCATCGATGCTCTCCTACCTCACGATGGCCGTCGATCGATACCGCTTCATCCTCTACCCGTACACGGTTCGTCCACCGACCGGTCTGTGTATCATCGGTGTGTGGGTGCTGGCGCTCTGCCTCGTGCTGCCCTACGCGATGTACGTGAAGTACATAGACCTGGAACTGTACCTCGGCGCGCAGTTCGCCGGACTAGGGTTGTGTGTGATCAACCCCGAACGCAACATCGAGGAGTACACGCGCGCGATGTTTGTGATTATCTACGTGATGCCGCTCGCCATCATCGCCTTCCTGCAGGTGAAAGTCTCAAACGAGATTAAGTCTCGCGCCGCGCCATACGCCGTCGTCCATTACAATGTCACGGTGCAGACGCCAGATGGCGTCAGGGGCGAGTCACAGTGCGACGCGCGCGTGACGCAGCTGAGCTCATCCGTCACAGACACGCAACGCAGCAGCGGCAACCGCAGCATCGCGCATATGTCTGTGCCGCAGACGCCTTTCGAGGGAGACGACTTCGATCCTTCGACGGAGCGACGGACGCAGAAGTACGCGATCACCATGGTAACGCTGTTTGCGATCTGCTGGTGTCCTATGAACATCCTCACGCTCGTGTCGCACTTCATTTTCGAGACGGTCGATAACAGCGACTACTTCGACGTCACATTCCTCACGTTTGTTTGCATCGGCTTCCTCTCCACGTGCGTCAACCCGTTTCTTTTCGTCGCGTGGCACGTGAGCAGCGGAAACCCGCTCCGACGGCTGTGCGAGCACCTGCGTCCGCGACACTGGCGCCGCCGCCTGAATTCGGCCGCCAGGGAGCGCTGTCGTCGGGGCCACGGTGAAGACGACGGAAGAGGTAGGCAGGCTCGTGTCTCACGCGTTAACCTGCTGCCGATGCGGGTTGTCGCAAGAACGGACGGCGACTGACGGCGGAAAGAAACAAAGAAGGGAGAGGAGTAGAGAGTTTGAGAAAGGAAGCGAGTGAGAGAGATAGACAAAGAGAGAGAGAGAGAGAGAGAGAGAGAGAGAGAGAGAGAGAGAGAGAGAGAGGTAGAGGGAGAGAGGCGGAAGGGGGAGGAAGAGAGGAGAAGGGAGAAAGGGGGGGGGGAGAGAAAGAGAAAGAGAGAGAGAGAGAGAAAGCGAGGTCATTCTTATAAGAGGTTTCATTGTCCTGGGCCACTAAATACGCATACAGGTTAATCATATACGCGTGACACGGGGACTGATGCCGGATACGCGTGACAATGTAATCGACGAAAACCCGAATGGAGTAGAAGATTTTCGAGGAGATGGGAGACGCTGGTGATTTGAGCCTGTAAACAGTTGAACCTGCGCCGCTAGTCTTCCCCGGTGTTCACCTCGTTTTCGTATATCCTTGACATCTAGTTTGTAAGCGCCGTATAATATATGGTTGGCCATCCTACTCAGAAATAATTATTTTTTACCGCGGTAGAAAAAATTTCACTGCAGTAAGAAGCTTAAGAATAATTTATCCAGGTGTAACAAAGCCGCTGATTGGGTAACAAGAGCTATAATTTTACTGCGGATAAATGATTTCTACCGCGTTCAAAATACTTATTTCTGGGTATGATGGCCAACCACAACCGTGTTAGTGTCGGGTGTAGTATGGCAATTATACACACCACCAAGAAGATCAATCGACGGTTATTACGTTACCGCCTCTTATCATGTCATCTAGCGTCTCGTGCTACCGGTATCAGTAGCCGGCACATGTAACACGGCCAACGCCGCATATCAGCCTAGTCCACATCGCCTAGATGTGGAATATTGGCTTGCGCTCAGGACGTGACGTCAGGTGGCTGGCGATGCATGTGATGTCGTGGTTACGTAGCAGTGCTTAATTCGTAGAATTAGTTAGTGTGTGATAGGTGGGAATTGCGGTGCGAGGAATTCAGGAATTATCACAGTTATGTAGTTGTATCAGAGTATTTTGCACTATATTTTTAAATGATTAATTATGTCGATATTGAACAGTCAAGAAACAATTATGAGCCACCTACAAGCTGTTAGATATTGGTGGTTGCGATTTAACTGCATCACCATCAAGCTTTTTGTAAACCCGTGAGATCAAGTAATAGTAATAGTATTTTCTGATAAATTTATATAATTAACCTGTTAGCAGCACTTTCCACTACTGGTCTAGAATCATTAATTTTGTTTATACGAAGACAACCTGACCAGTTGATGACAGTGCTGCTAGCAAGGTAGTAACATGGATTTATGAGAAATATATTTACGCTGGTATTATCATGAAATTTGGGGATCTTATTCTAGTGTCTTCGTAAGATCGCTGCCCAGTAATACATTGTGCGATTAAAATCTGTTACGATGACGCTGTCATGTTAATAAAATGTGACGGAGATGGTCATTATAGCAACCTGTAGCCAGAAACATGATAAATTTATATGACAACATGAATGTAGAATATCATGAGATACGCACATGAAGTCATATGCAAAACTTCCGACATTTTGTGCTTATTCATAACCATTTATGGCGTTTCTGACAACGGGTTCGGAAGCGACATCGCACCTGCGCGTAAATTGACTAATAATCTGACACCTTATATCATTCATCCGCCTGCGGGGAGGTTCGTAGGTTTGTAGGTAGAGAATTCCTGCTGATGGACTGATCATTAGAGATATATTGGCTTTTGACAGCCGAGTACAAGCACAGGGCGTCAAGTGACAAGTGACGCTCAAAAAATAAGAAAATAGGAATTTCAGATGTGAAAAATAGGAGGAAAACTGGAATTTGGGTGAGAAAATATATGTTAAATAGGAATATTTTTTGCGTTAGATGGCCTCCCAACACCCCTACAGCCATCCCGATCCACCACAAATGGTTTTATTAATATACATATTTGGAGTTACATCACATATGCGAACAATATTTTGAGGTTTTAATGAGAAATGCATGTTAAAATTGATAAGCAGTTTATACATACATAAGCACCCATACATACACCCAGACTACTCCCAAATAGTAGTGATAATGATTAAAAATAAAGACTAGACATGCACATGATATAAGATTATTGAGAAATTGTGCAATAAATTTTTACTATAAAGCACAAATATGTTAAATAGGAACATGTGTTCATTAGATGACCTGATGAAATAAAATCTGTGATAGTAAAGAGTATATTACGTTAATTTAAAGTAAGGGGTGGAGGTCTGGGGGTACTCCCCCAGGAAATTTGTGAAAATTGGGACACCTAAAATGTAAATTCCTGCATTCTGAGAAGGATACATACAATTCGAGATTCAGAAAAATAAAAAGCCTTCAAAAATAGGAAAAATAGGAATTTGTCCAGAAAATAGGAGAAAATAGGAATTGCCCAGAAAATAGGAAAAATAAGGAGAAAACAAAAAGAAAGAAAGAAAGAGCAGTGAGATAGGGAAGACAGGAGATGGGGAGAAGAAAGGGAAGACTGTAAGGTAGATAGTAAAATGACAAATAATTGATATGATTCACATAAACATACATATTACAGCACCTATAACACTTCGCTCCATCCATAAATATACCATTTGAGTCTCTAAATAACTGTTTGGTGTGTGACAATTGAATTCTCTTGAAGACAAATATGGTCGCGTCTGTAGAGCCAACACATAAGGACCAGCGTCTATAAAGGACAGTTTTGATATTTCAGTTGCCTGGTAGTTACTCAGGGATACCACCACTATAGAACGGACACGTGCCTATAAAAGTCCATTTGGGAATTTTCCCATTAAGCAATATTTATACAGTGAAACCACTTCTATAAAACGACACCTACCCACAAGTTTCTCTTGAATTCCCCTCTTGATTGGCAAATATACAGTAAATCCACATGTATAGAACATACACGGGTCTATAAAATGCTCTTTTGGAATTTTCCCCATCAAGTGACCCTGATATACACGTTTGACTGTGCATAACCATTCGTTTTAGTTTTCGTCGTTTAAAATCTTGTGTTGTTATTATTGCAGTGCCGTCATCGCCATGGGAGACGAGGACAGACTCACGTCGCTATGAAAACACGCCCATCCTGCCACAGACGCATTTTTGTGTGTATTACCTATTTGCCAAATAGATTCGGTTAACGCGCGGTCTTTAGTTCACGTGGGTCACGTGTCGTCCGTCAATGGGCCACGTGTGTTCCGTCAGTAGGCCACGTGTGTTCCGTCAGTGGCTCACGTGTGATCCGTCAGTGCGTCACGTGTCGTCCGTCAATGGGACACGTGTGTTTCGTCAGTAGGCCACGCGTGGTTCGTCAGTGGCTCACGTGTGATCCGTCAGTGCGTCACGTGTCGTCCGTCAATGGGCCACGTGTGTTCCGTCAGTAGGCCACGTGTGTTCCGTCAGTGGCTCACGTGTGATCCGTCAGTGCGTCATGTGTGTTCCGTCAGTGGCTCACGTGTGATCCGTCAGTGCGTCACGTGTGGTTCGTCAGTAGGTCACGTGTGCTTCGTCAGCGGGTTACGTGTGCTTCGTCAGTGGC